TCTTTGGAACAATAATAGAATTTTTTAATTCATACAGAATTGAAAAATTTCCAAATAATTGAAATTTAGTAAAACTTTATGAAAATGATTGAATTTTTGGTAAATATAAAAAGTAATCAAATTTTTCAAGATTTTTTTTGCAAATATAAAAATACCAGATTTCTTAAAAAATTCTAAAAATTCTAATCTCAAAAACAGTGAATATTTTAAAAAGTTTTATTTACTTTTCTTGAAATCAATTGAATTTTAAAAAAATATGATAAAAAAGTTTCAAACAATTTAAAAATCCCAATTAAGTTTTTTACAGAATTATAAATTAAAATTTTTTAAAATGATTGACTTCTTCAAAGTTTTAATATTAATTCTAAAAGATTACAGTTTTTAAAAAATTAATTATTGTGTAATTGAAATTAAATGTTATTAAAAGTATTAATAATACTTCATTAAATTTTAAAAAATTATTTTGAAAAAAAATTCTAATTTTTATTTGAAGATTTATAATAAAAATTGTATAGAATTAAATCATTTTCAGAATATTTTTATTTTTGTAAATAAATAAAATAATTAATATATTAAAATTATTCTCTAGTTAATACAATATTCGTAAATTGTATATATATTTTAATTTTATAAATTATGCACAATTTTAATTAATTTTCAGAATAATTTACAAATAAATCTAATGAGAGCATTAAACTTCGCATTTCATTTAAATTATATCTATAAACATTTTCACGAATTTAAATGGAAGCAAAGTTTAACGCTCTCATTATATTCGAATTTACGACAAATTGACAAAATTCCAATTGTAATATATTTCAGGGAACAAAATTGTTCTCAAAAAGCGCATTCCTGAGAACAATGCGTGAATAAACGAAAACATTTATCAAACAGGTATGTATTGATTGGTATGTTAGATTAATTTCATCGATTCAGCATACCAACGCAACGCTTTGAAAATTAAGGACATAATTTAACTTCCATCTGAAAGCCTTATAACTTACAAAAGTAACTCTTGTTCACTTGGAGATTATTCAATTTTACCAGGTGCACTGTCAAGGAAAATTTAATTAATTTCCCAACTGTGAATAATTTATTTCACTTCACTCTTATTTTTTCCCCGATTACCAAAACAATTTCTGATTTTTTATTTTCATTTTTCATTTTCACTTTTTTTTTTAAATAAAAATCTAAACTGACCTAGCAATTATTTTTGACAACGAGAAATTAAAAATGTTGTCTTCAAGAAAAATAAAGAATATTATTTCAGGAAAAAAATTATTCAATTTTATCAGTAGTTAAAATTGGTATGTAATTTAAATGTAAAATTATTAGTTTGAAGTAGAATTTTATTGATTCTCTTAAACATGTAAATTTAAAGTTTATAGTGACAGAAATAAGAAAATATTTCAATAAATTTAAATTTTGACCTATATTTCAAAATTCGCTTGTTAATTTTCTATTTTTGACAATGTTTCCTTATTGCCCTGCGAATTAAAGATTTTTTTCGCCAATTTTAACAATTTTTTTTTAATTATAATAACTGGAAAATTATATTAACTGAATAATTCTTTTTTCTCTCGTAACAATGAATTTTTTTTTACATTCTCATCGCATGAAAACGTATTATTTTGTATTGCATGAAATTTTCAAAGAAGATTATTTTCTTCCAGAAGGACAAGAATTTATTTTTGAACATTATTAATAATTGAGAGAGAAGACTGTCAGATATAAATTGTTCCTTATTCGTTTTTTTTACGATTGAAATTTAAAATGAAAATTAAAACGGATATATTGATTTAATAGTAAATTAAATATTTATATCACCTACTCTCAATGTTCTTTTAACACCATTCTATTTCAGTGATCTTGTAAAATATTTATACACCATTCCTGAATCTAAAGATGTTCAAGAGAATCAATAATTTCACTTCAGAATTATTTCTTTCATCTTCAAATGTATGCTTCCAATTCTTAATATTTCATAATTCATATTCTTGATAATTTAATCTTGAAAATGATTGTTAACTTCTCAATAATTTTATCGAGGTTTCTAATGGTTTTTAAATTGCTAATTTTATCGAAAACTGTTTTTGACTTCTAATCAATAATTTTCTAAATTAATAATTTGATTAACGATACCTAATTTTATATATTTTTGAAAGTAAATTTAATTTAAATTTTAAAAATAAAAATTTAATATAAAAAATAAATAATAAAAAAGTGAAATTGTGTAAACTCTGATAAATTCGTCAAATGAATAAATGAACTTCGACGAGAGTGTATTTTTATCTATTGTCGATAAAAAAAATTAAAATAGAAATACTTGCATAGTATCGAGAGAAAAAAACTTATTTTGTCATCCTGCAAACGTATAATGAAAGGAAATTAAATTCTCTTGTTTTTAACGGTGCGAGTGTTAAATGCCTTAAATTTTTTTGCAAACACCCATACAAGAGGGGCTTCATAAACTCGGAATCGTAAATTCCTCTGTGCAGAAATTCAGAAATAAAAACGCAAGAGCAACAGGTTTGCAATGAAACTCTATACATTGGGATCAAGCCCAACCTAATAGTATTATGATAGCCCGAAGCCTTATGCCGAAAGTTTGTGCATGAGGTTCCTTTTGTTCGGTGAAAAAAAATATATATATATTTAAGGTGCGCAAAAGAATAGTGTTTCCCAAAAAAATCTATTTAGAAAAAAAAATATCTACATTAATAAAATCAGACTTTTGTCTCTATATTGATAAAAATTAATTTTTTCTAGCATAATTTATCGTTTTCAACAAGAGAGAATCTAGAAATGAGAATAAAAAAATTATTAGTTTTTACGGAAAATATTTTGATACTTTTCAATTTTTATTTTTGTTAAAAATTCGTAAATTTTTAATTCCAATCGTGATTTTGTAGAAAATGTTTTTTAGGGCTCGAATTAGTGAAAGTATTCAAAAATACGGACTTTACGGACCAAAAATGAAAACTTACGGACCATTTGCGGAGAAAAATATAACAAGTCCGAGTCAAATAAGATAACATTTTACTTAAAACTATAAATTAAATTATAAAATTAAAATATAAAATTATAATATTAAATTATAAAACATGAAGATATCGATAACTAATAATTTCAACAACAAAAAATTAAATTAAACTTTTTCAAAAATATTAATTCTACAGAATTTTTGATTAAAAGTATGAAAAAATAATATTTTTAAAGATTTTAATTTAAAACCATTTTAAAATTCAATTATTATCTAAAATTTTAAATAAAAATTATTTCTAAATCAATTTTTATTAGGAAATTCTATGAGAATTCAATAATTTAAATATAAAAATAAATAATTTATTGAATAATTAAATGTTTCTTAAAATTGAATTCTCATAAAGAATTTTATTAACAATTTTTTAATTTTTTCTTCAAAATTCAATTATTTCTAAAAATGCATGTTATAAAGCTTTTAATACTCAAATGTTATTTAAAATTTTAACTAAAATTCATTTTTAAATAAATTTTTATTATAAAATTCAACGAGAATAAAATTATTTAAATATAAAAATAAATAATTTATTGAATAATAATTGAATGTTTCTTAAAATTAAATTCTCATAAAGAATTTTATCAATAAATTTTTAAATAATTAAATTATTTCGAAGAATTTTAATTAAATTTCAAGAATAATTACATTTTTCAAAAAAATGTGATTAAAATTATACTAAAAATAATTGAAATTCAACGATGAGTTTTATTATTTATGAAAATAATTGAATTCCGAAAATGAATTTTAATATTTATGAAAATAATTGAATTCTTCTAACAAATTTTATAAAAAAAAATTTTTAAATAATTGAATTTCTACGAAGAATTTTATTATTTATCAAAATAATTTAAGTCTGTCAAATAATTTTATTAAAATTTTGAAAATAATTGAATATCTGCGAAGAATTAATTATTAATGAAATTCTTCGCAGAAATATATAAATAAAAACAAAAAATTCAATTATTTTTTAAAATTCTAATAAAATTATTTTATAGAATTCAATTATTTTGATAAATAATAAAGTTCTTTGAAGAAAAAAAATTTTAATAAAATTCTTTTTAAGAATTTTATTGTTTATAAAAATAATTGAATTTCTATGAAGAATTTTATTATTTATTCTCATAAAGAATTTTATCGATAAATTTTTAAATAATTGAATTTTTTTGACGAATTTTAATAAAATTTTTAAGAATAATTACATTTTTCGAAGAATTTGATTAGAATTGTATTAAAAATAATTGAAATTCTACAATTAGTTATATTATATATGAAAATAATTGAATTCCCAAAAAGAATTTTATTATTTACAAAAATAATTGAATCCCTGTAAAAATTTTATTATTTATGAAAATAATTGAATGATTGCGAAGAAATTTATAAAAAAATTTGTAAATAATTGAAAGCCTGTGAAATTTCTATGATTTTAAGAAAATAATTAAAGGTTTGCGTAGAATTTTATTAAATTTAAAAAAAAAAGAATTCTTTTGGATAATTTTATTAAAATATTAAATATTAAAAATCATTGAATCGAGGAAAATTTTTGAAAATAATTGAAATTTCCCCAAGAATTTTATTAAAATTTTTGAAAATAATTGAATTTCAAAGAAGAATTTAATTATTTCTAAAGATAATTGAAATTTTGATAAGAATTAAAAAAAAAATTTGAACAATAATTGAATTTCTGCAAAGAATTTTATTACTTTTGAAAATAATTGAATTTCTGCAATTATTTGTAATTTCTCTGAAATTCTCCAAATTATATCGTACAGTTTACGAACTTTTCGTCTTTTCTTAATCAAATTACGAACTTTACAAACTTTTTTTCAAAAAAAATTATTTTATATAACGAAAACGGTATCCTATGTTATAAAAAAGTATCCTATATAATAATAATAGTAGTAATAACAATAATAATAAAAATAATAATAATAATTCATAAAAAGAGCAAAATTTCACTTACCTTGAGTTGATGTTGTGGACGTCGAAGCGCAACTTGGTCCCTCCTTCCAACCAGACGATCAGCTTCAGTTTCCAGACCTTCCATTGATGATTCAGCCTCGCTCAGCCAAGCCAAAAACTTGTCCAGTGAACGATCAAAGTTTTGCAGAGAATTCATTGCTGAATGAAGAAGTTTTCCTCGGTTGATGATGCTGTAAATTTAATCTAGCATGAAACTCAAAAGATTCGGAAGATTATAATAATAATAATAATTATTATTATTATAATCATAATAAAGATAATAGTAATAATTCAAATAATAATAATAATAATAATAATAATAATAATAATAATATTAATAAGAGGTGGACCATTAATTAATTTAATTAACTAGTGGCTTTAAGGGGGGAGGGATTTTCAGACATTTTTTAAGGTCGATAGAAAAAAAAAGTTTCCCAAAAACTGTCTTACGTCAATAATAGCAATAATTCAAATAATGATGATAATACTAATAATAATAATTCAAACAATAATAACAAAGGTAATAGTAATAATAATTCAAACAAATAATACCAAAGATAATAGTTATAATAATTTAAACAATAATAACAAAGTTAATAGTAATAATGATAATGATATTACTTATAATAATAATAATAATAATAATAATAATAATAATAATAATAATAATAATAATAATAATAATAATAATAATAATAATAATAATAATAATAATAATAATAATAATAATAATAATCAAATTTAATTAATTTTTCAAAGATTTAGTGCTTTGAAAAGTGAAACGAGTTCACAGAGAAAGCATTTAGAATTCAACTTCCTCACTTTATGAAACATCTTGCCTATAGTTATTTAATCCGGCTTCCATGAATCTTTCATCTGTTTTCATCTCATAAATTCCAAAGTAGTAAACTTAAACGTATTAAATTGTATAAATATTTAAATTTCTTCTTTTTTAAATGCACCAGTTTTATAAAAGAGTATTAAACTTTTTCGTTATACAAAAACCCAGATATATATATTATTTTATATAAATATGAAATGTAAAACTTTTACAAAAAATAAGTACATTCAATAAAATTTATCATTTTAAAGTTTATTAATTATATATTTTCGCTTTGACAAGATTTGAAAACTGTATATAAAAACAATTTTTTTTCTCTTTAATTAAATATCAATCTCTTTAAAAATTTAATTGGTGTGAATGAAAATAAATTTTCTCTTGAGTATTTATATAATTCTGTGAAGAAATTTATATTTTTAAATAAAAATATATATTTCTTGTCAAATGTGACATTTTTAGGAAAATTTTTTTAAATTTTAAGGAAAAGTTTACTGTAATTTTTATATCGAACTCGATTGTTAATATTACTATTATTTTTGTTATTTTAATTTGTTCTATTACTTATATTAGTATTTGGGTGATTTTTCTGAAAGTAGATTATTTTCTAGAATTTTTAATTAAAATTCTTCTATACATAAATTATTTTGAATAATTTTTGAAAAAGTTGTTTGGAATTTTTCAAATACATTTGTTTACAATTCAATTTTACAAAATTTCGATTTTTGGAAATTCCTACAATTAAATATATATTAAAATACAAAAACTAATAATTTCAACAACAAAAAATTAAATTAAACTTTTTCAAAAAAATTAATTCTACAGAATTTTTGGTTAAAAGTATGAAAAAATAGGATTTTTAAAGATTTTAATTTAAAACCTTTTTAAAATTCAATTAATTATAAAAATTCATGACATAATGCTATTAACATTCAATTATTATCTCAAATTTAAAATAAAAATTATTTTTAAATCAATTTTTATTAGGAAATTCTATGAGAATTCAATAATTTAAATATAAAAATAAATAATTTATTGAATAATTAAATGTTTCTTAAAATTGAATTCTTTTGAGGAATTTTAATAAAATTTTTAAGAATAATTACATTCTTATAAAAATTAAAGAAATAATTGAATTCAAATTAAAAATATTTTATTAAAATTATATTAAACATAATTCAACAATAATTGAATTTCTGGGAACAATTTAATTATATATTCGAAAATAATTGAATTCTTATTAATTTTTTCAATGAATTTAATAAAAATTCTATTGAAAATAATTAAATTTTTAATTTTTATACAGAATTTAAAAAAAAAATTTATCAATAATAATAATAATTGAATTCTTTTCAGAAATATTAAAATTGTTCTAAAAATAATTGAATCTCTGTAAAAAATTTTATTATTTTTTAAAATAATTGAATTTTTTCAATTAATTTTTAAATAATTGAATTTTTTGACGAATTTCAAATTTTTTAAAAATAATTACATTTTTTGAGAAATTTGATTAAAATTGTATTAAAAATAATTGAATTTCTAAAAGGAATTTTATTATTTATGAGAATAATTAAATCTCTGTAAAAAAAAATTATTATTTATGAAAATAATTGAATTTTTGGAAAAGAATTTTATTGTTTATAAACATAATTGGAATTTTGAGAATTTTTGAACATAATTGAACTTCTACGATGAATTTTATTATTTTTGAAAATAATTGAATTTTTGCAATCATTTGTAACATCTCCAAAATTCAATTTTTTTTAGTGTTTTTAGCTAAAATTTTTCTATAAATTCATTATTTCTAATAATTTATGAAATATATATATATATCTTCAAAAATTTAACTAATTTCAGAAGCATTTGAATGTTAAAAATTTTTCAAAATGAAAGTTATTTAAATTTTTTAATTAAATTCATCCTTTAAAATTGAAATTTTATAAAATTTCAAATAAAAAACTTTTGAAGTTCATTTATTTGTGAAAATTGTAAACGCAACTCTTTTAAAATTCAATTAATTTTGAAATATTTAAAGTTAAGTGATTTAAAAATAAATTGTTGTCAGAAATAGAAAAGAATGTATTTGGTATTAAAAAATGCAAAATTAATTTTTATAACCAGTTTCATTTTAGTTTCAATTACGTGAATCATATTAGATTTTATTTTTTATAGAAAAACCCGGGAATCAAATAAAAATAATAATATGAAGCAAAAAAAGTCAATCTTCTTCAGAAGAAGAAAAAACTTAAATATTTCTAACAATTAATTTAAACAAATAAATAATAAATAAAATTTAATTTAAACAATAAGATAAAAACAAGATAAAAAATCAAAATCAATGAGAAAATGATCGCTCACCTGGTATTGAGATTATTATAACGTTGATTGATGGTCTCTGTCATTTTCTTGACACGCGTTGTATCATCTTGTTGATACACGGCAATTAGTTTCTGGGTGAGTTGATTAAATAGTTCGAGTTGATGCTTATATTGATGAAGCTCGGCGTGGAAAGACTGTAAAAAAAAGAAGAAAAGAAAAAATAAGTTTTGTGGGTGATGGGTAAAAGTTTAGACCAAATGTAATGAAACCAGCATCGAGAGCTTCTAACTGAGTTAGAAAAAGTAATTTCCTTCCTATAAAGAAACGTCGATAACTTAACAGAGTTAAATGTTTGTAAAACTGAATAAAGTTTCATGGTGATATTACGCTCGACGGAAGGAAGCAGAAGAAGAAAAAAAATAGAAGAAAAAGCTCTTTTTATTTACAGGGAATGTCTGCAATTGGGGTCCTTCAACTTCCAAAGAAGAGATAAAACTTCAAACTTGTTTAGCTATTTTACAATAATGCCAACTCCTTAATACTCCTTGACAATAAAAAAAAAAAAAACAAACGAACAAACTCCCTTTTGGAAGATTTCAACGAACGAACAAAAAAAGTGCAACTAATAAAATTTTTCTCTTCCTGTAATCATTTTTTAATGCTAATAAACCGTTTATGAAACAGTAGTTAATGTCAAGATAAATACGTAAATTAGTAATTAAATAAAGTACAAGACAACATGAACAAAGGGAAAAAAGGAAGTAAGAGAATAAATAAAAAACAATAAGTAAAGAAAATAAAAGAAGAAGTAAACAAATGGAAAAAATTGAGAAAAATATTTTAAAAAAACAATTAATTAATTAATTATTAATTAACTATAATTTCTATTTCTTAATTATAATTGTTTTAACAAAATTCAAGGTTTTTTCAAAATAAAAGAAAACAATGTTTATAAATTCTATTTGGCAATTACAAATTTTCATTGAAAATGAAATTAAAAGTTTTTGTATTTTTAGAAAATAAAGGAAAAATTTTTTTAAATTAAACAACTTATAAAAATTTATATTTCCATAAAATTTTTCAAAAAAAATTAAATTATTTACAAAAATTATAATAAAATTCGTTACAAGAATTCAGTTATTTTAATAAATAATAAAATTCTTCACAGGATTTCAATTATTTTTAATACAATTTAAAATAAATTTCTCGAAAAATGAAATTATCTTTAAAAATTTTTTGAAAGAATTAAATTACATTTCACAAATAATTAAATTCTTCGCTGAGATTCAAAAATTTTCAAAATTTACTATTTTAATAAAAGTTCTCAAGAGAATTTAGTTATTTGAATAAAGTGTAATAAAATTCGTTGCAGGAATTCAATTATTTTTACAAGTAATAAAATTTTTCACATAAATTCAATTATATAAAAAAAATGTTGATAAAATTCGTTATAAGAATTTCATTATTTTCATAAATTATAGAATTTTTCTGAGGATTTCAATTATTTTTAATACAATTTAAAATAAAGTCCTAGAAAAATGAAATTATTTTCTTACATTTTTTGAAAGAATTTAATTAAATTTCACGAATATAATGAAATTCTTCGATGAAATTAAAATATTTTCAAAATCTACTATTTTAATAAAAGTTCTCAAAAGAATTCAATTATTAAAAAAAAAAAATGAAATAAAATTCGTTGCAGAAATTCAATTATTTATAATTGAATTGAAATTCTATGATAAGTTTTATTATTCATAAAAATAATTGAATTTTTGTAAAAAATGTTATTATTTATAAAAATAACTGAATTATTGCTAAGAAATTAATAAAAAAAAATTTGTAAATAGTTGAATTCCTGTGAAATTTTTATTATTTATGAAAATAATTGAATGTTTGCTTAGAATTTGATCAATATTTATTTTTTTTTATAATTGAATTCTTTTGAAAAATTTTATTAAAATAGTAGATATTGAAAATCATTGAATTGAGAAAATTGGAAAAATTTTTGAAAATAATTGAAATTAGGACAAGAATTTTATTGACATTTTTTTAAATAATTGAACTTTGGGGAATAATTTTGTTATTTATAAAGATAATTATTATTTTGACGAGAATTTCTTTAAAATTTTGAACAAAATTGAATTTTATTACTTTTGAAAATAATTGAATTATTGCAAAGAAATTTATAAAAAAAATTCGTAAATAATTGAATTCCAGTGAAATTTTTATTATTTATGAAAATAATTAAATGCTTACTCAGAATTTTACCAAAATGTTTTTTTTAAATAATTGAATTCTTTTTGGAAATTTTTTTAAAATAGTAAATATTGAAAATCGTTGAAATGAGAAAAATTTTTGAAAGTAATTGAAATTAGGACAAGAATTTTATTGACATTTTTTAAAATAATTGAACTTTGGGAAATTTTGTTGGAAATTTTGTTATTTATAAAGATAATTGTTATTTTGACGAGAATTTCTTTAAAATTCTTAACACAATTGAATTTTATTACTTTTGGAAATAATTGAATTTCTGCAATTATTTATAATTTCTGCAAAATGCAATTCTTTTAGCGTTTTCAACAAAAATTTGAATTAAAAATTTTTAAATTCTATTATTTTTAATGTTGCTAATATTATTTAAAAAAAATAAGTCAAAAGTTAGCCACGCGAATTGTTGCTAGTAAATAATTAAAGTAAAAGAAAAAAGTAAACAAAAAAATGAAGTAAAGAAAGAGAGTAAAAAATCAGGTAAAAGAATAAAGTAAGTAACAAACAAGTTAAGGACATTTGTACTTTTATGACGTCATAATTTTTGTAAAGTATGTGCATGTGTTTTAAAAATATGAAGTCATAATAGTTCAATGCCCTTAAGTAAAAAAATTAATTACGTAACAAATAAATTAAGTGAAAAAAATAAATAAAATTGAGTAAAAAAATAATTTACGTAAAAAATAAATTATGTGAAAAAATAAATAATATTGAGTAAAAAAAAAATTAAGTAAAAAACAAAATCAAGTAAAAGAATAAATTAACTAAAAATATAAATGAAGTAAAAATTAAATAAACTGAAAAAATAAATAAATTCTTAAAAAATTAATTAAGGAAAAAAATAAAATAAGCAAAAGAAATAGAAAATGAAATAAAAAATGTGAATTGAAAATTGAAAAGAAGAAAATTAATTTGAATGATAAAAGGAAAAGGAGAGACATTACATTAAAAACATGAGGGAGAAAAAAGAAAACAAAATTTACAGAAGACGAAAAAGAAATGAGTCATGTTAAACGTTAATTTATAAAATATTATGGAGACGTACCTTTTGTTCTCTGAGTTGTGCTTCAAGAACATCAGCAGTATGACCAACGGCCCTCATCCTCTCGAGACGAGTTTCCATTCTTGCCAACCAGACTTCAACCTCGTTTCTCTTGGCTTCGTACCGTTGACTATCGCTCAACATGGCATCTAACTGTGTCTTTCTTTGCATTACTTTCGAGTTTGTCTCATCCCAATGCTCTCTCAGTTTGGTCACTGTAACAAAACAAAGCAAAAAAAAAATTGTATTCGATTAAAAAGCACATTGCAATGTTCTATTGATCAGCTGAGACGAGAAAATTACATTTACTCTCTTATTAGTATGACAGACAAAACAAAATTATTATATTCAAAATTAAAATCGTCAAAAAATGAAACATAAAGCTTGATGTTGGTAACTAATGGAATCATATACTATGTATGTAAATCAATATTCCTTTGACTTTGTATAAATTTATTAGCAAATAACTTTACCCCCATATATGAATACTGTAATAGTAATTCCCATTGGGCTCGGGTTAATTATTCAAGCAGTATACAAATTGGATCAGAGTATGTAAGAAAGTTAAATGGTATCAATTTCAATGAATAAATTCATTTATTTTTAGAAGATTGTATTTATTTTTAGAATTGTACTTTAAAAATTAATTTAGATGCGTAATTCTATAATAAGTAATTAGTTTAGATGTAACTAAATTTATAAGTTAACTTAATTAATTTTCAATTTCAAACTTTCTCAAAAATTAAATATTCATTTTCTTTTATTTTTCCGGTATTATTCACAAATATTTATTTCTAAAAATTACACCTTGTATAGCTTTCGAAATTTAAGTTCCTAGAATTTTCAACTGAATTTCTTATCTAAAATTTAAATCAATTATATTTATAATATTAGAAAAAAAACAAAGTATATAATTTATTTCTTTTATAATATTTTTTTTCACCTATGTAAAAAATAAATTTTTGCACAATACACAAAATTCTAAGCAAAATGTGTACAGTGTCCTGAAAATTATACACATTTTTATTTACAATATTCAATACTCCTTATTGTTTATTTCATCTGTAATTTTATAAGGATATTGAAAATTTGCTCATGCAAAAAATACCTCAAAAAAAAAAATACACTCTATGGACAAAATGGAAAAAAAATTTTCAACAACGTAAATGAGACACATTCGCTACCTTTCAAAAATGCTCTTAAAAATGCGAGATTCCGAGAACACATGTCATCAAATAGAGGCGAAACTAAAAATACCAGATTTTTTGTTTACAGTATTTGTCAAAAATTACTCTACGTATAAAATAATAAAAATAATATTAATAATAATAAAAATAATAATAATAATTTTATTAAAAAATAGGTATATTATTATATTAAAAAGAAAAGGATAGTAATTATAATCACTCTCTAAATTTGAATTAGTAAAAATGTTTACTATATTGAATTATTGACTGCATGTTTGCTTTTGAAAGTAGTAAATTTTACTAATAAATAGTACTTTCTACTAATTTATTAGTAAAATTTACTAATTACTAAAATTTATTTTACTTTTTACTTTTGAATTAGTAAATTTTACAAAGAAATAGTATTTTCTACTAATTTAATAATAAAATTTACTAAGTCAAAGGCAAAAAGTCAGTTACTAATTCAAATTAGACATTTTTACTAATTAAAGTTTAGAGAGAATTGTCATTAATAATAAAAATTTAAAATAATAAAATTTGAGTAGTAATTAATATTATTAGTATTATTATTAATATTTATCTATATGTTGTAATTAATTATTAATTTATTATTTTTAACTATTATAATCATAATTTATTTGCATTGTAATGTAAACAAATATATAATTATATTGTAATTATTCATTATTTAATTAATGTTAACTATTATTATATAATAATTTATTTGAATTGTAATGTAAAAAAAAATATAATTATTATTACAGATGAGGATAAAACTTTAAAAAGAATACACATGGGATGGATTGGTAAAAAAAAATATAATAATTAACCATAATTTATGTCGTAATAACAAATAATAATTCCATAATCACCATTATGGAGATGCATTAATATTCCCTAAAATCCATTATGGTTCGAATTATCAGTACACCTAATTTCTATTTAGCCGAATTCATTAGATGGAATAATAGAATATTAATCAATACGGATTTCCGTCTAAACCGTATTTTTAAATGGGCGACAAAATATTTTCATAAACAAAACTTTGAGTTTTTTTTAAAAATAATATAAACTAAATATTTTAAGTAGATAGTAAAAATTTATTCTAATTAAAATTAGTTCTTTTTAAATTAACTAAAAAATTTTGTAAATATTCACTAAATTTTTACTCCTTTATTTAGTGGCATTAATTTTTAAAAAATTTTTTTATTGAAAATTTTTTTATTTTTTTATTTAATTATTGCATAACTTATTTATTAACTTATTGTTAAACAATTATGTATCATTATAATTTATTTCATTAATAGAAACATTTAATATTTTTTTCACGTTTTCTTTTTTTTTGTAACTTGTAAAATGTAAATAAATAAATATTCTTTCTAATTATGAATTAGTAAAATTCTAGAAATAAATACTAAAATTTTACTAGTTAGTCATTTTTGTGGACGATTTTTCGTCATTTTTTAGGAACTTTCTATTAATTCAAATTTAGAGAGTTAAGTAATATTAACATTTATTTAATTGATAACTCTCTAAATTTTAATTAGTAAAAATGTTTTCTAATAAGAATTAGTGACTAATTTTTGCTTTTGAATTCGTAAATTTTACTTATAAATGGTAATTTTTACTAATTTATTAGCAAAATTTTTTAACTTTGATTTTTATTTTGACTTAAAATTTGACTTTTACTTTGACTTTAACTTCAATTTTTATTTTGACTTTAAATTTGACTTTTACTTTGAATTTAACTTTGATTTTTAATTTGACTTTGAGATTAAATTTGACTTTAAAGATTTTGACTTTGATTTTCACTTTGACATCGACTTTAACTTTAATTTTTACTTTTAAGACTTTAACTTTGATTTTCATTTTGACTTAGACCTTGATGTTTACTTTCAATTTAAAATTGACAATGACTCTGATTTTTATTTCGACTTCAAAAACTTTAACATTGATTTTTACTTTGAGTTTAAATTTTACTGTATCTTTAACTTTGACTTTGAATTTAAAGACTTTGACTTTGATTTTTATCTGAATTTTAAAGACTTTAACTTCGATTTTTATTTTGACTTAACTTCGAATTTTATTTTGACTTTAAATTGAACTTTCACTTTGAATTTAACTTTGATTTTTAATTTGACTTTGAGATTAAATTTGACTTTAACTTTAATTTTTACTTTTAAGACTTTAACTTTGATTTTCATTTTGACTTAGACTTTGATGTTTACTTTCAGTTTAAAATTGACAATGACTCTAATTTTTACTTCGACTTTAAAAACTTTAACTTTGATTTTTACTTTGAGTTTAAATTTTACTTTATCTTTAACTTTGACTTTGACTTTAAATACTTTAATATTGATTTTTTCTTTGACTTTAACTTCGATTTCTATTTTAACTTTAAATTCAACTTTTACTTTGAATTTAACTTTGATTTTTAATTTGACTTTGACTTTAGTTTTGACTTTTACTTTGAATTTAAATTTAACTATGAAATAACATAAAATAAATAAATTAAAATAATAATATAAAAAACATTAAATTCTAAAGCTGAAAAATATTTTCCTGCAACAGAAAAAAATAATAAGAATATAAGAAGAAGAATATAAAAATCAGAGGAAAAATAAAAATTGAGAGAAAAGAAGAGAACAATTTCTCTAAGTGGAGTGCATAATGCACTGATGGTCAAGTGGAGGATGAAGATCAGTCTGAGAATGGAAGCTGAATGAGCGGATATTAATTACAAGTAAAATTCCGTAATAATGTACGGCATTATATTCAAGATGAGAGTGCAAGAGAATGGGGGAAGTTTAATGTATCCTGGGCCTGCTTTAGGTTGAATAATGTTAAAGGAACGTCACGTTGCAGACTCACATAGTGTGGGGAAGGGAAGAGAGGAGAGAGGTGGAGAAGGAGAAAAGTATCCGCGATGAGGGTGCAAAGCACTTGGACCCTGGGGCGGAAGTAAGTGGCTGATCTATCACCTTGCTGCTTAAAGGGGTGCTGCTCCTCTTCAGTGAAAGTTGGAGACACCGTCTCTGCGAGTAAAGAGAGTGAGGGTGTTCCATTCAATGACTTATTACAAGTCATTCACGCTCATCGACCTCAAATTCACTCATCGTTATTTTTCCCCAATTATAAACGGTACTTACTTTCCCATCTAAAATTCTCCCAACCTAATGATTATACACTATACACACTTAATTCTCTCATTTTGTTTTTCTTATATATACGTATACTTCATTTCACACGCCACCTCGTTTCGTTTAACAGCACAAAAGACGAAACTAATCAAATAATTACTAATCAAATAAATAATATATGTTTGGAAATATTTCGCAAAAATTGACACAAAAAGTTTTTCATTGTATTTTCGATTCATTGTCATTGACTTAGACTTTACTTTTTTTACTTTAACTCTGAATTAGACTTTCACTTCGATTTTGACTTTGACATTAACTTTGATTTTTTAATTTGACTTTAACTTTAATTTTCAACATAAATTTGACTTTAACTTTGATTTTTACTTTGACTTTGACTTTAATGTTGATTTTCACTTTGACTTTGACTTTAATTTTAACTTTGATTTTTTACTTTAAATTTAACCTTACATTTAACATTAAATACTAAGATTTTTGGATTTTAAGAATAACTTCAATATTCACTTTGACTTTAAAGACTTTAAAATAGATTTTGAGTTTAAATTTGACTTTTACTTTGACTTCAACTTTAATTTTCATTATGAATTTGACTTTAACTTTAACTTTCATTTTTACTTTGACTTTGACTTTGACTTTAATTTTGATTTTTATTTAGAGTTTAAAGACTTTATCTTTAAATTTTAATATGACTTTAAAGATTTTAACTTTGATTATTACTTTGACTTTAAAAACTTTAGTTTTGACTTTCACTTTGACTCTAAAGACTTTAACTTGGATTTTCACATTGACTTTGACTTTAACTCTGATTTTTACTTTGAATTTAAATTTGACTATGACTATTACATGGATTTAAAATCTTTAACTTTGATT